TGTGTTGTTATTTTATATATCTTTTTGGTGCTTTTCTTGTTATGGTTTGTGCGATTTGTTTATAAGGGGTGTGGTTCTTTTTTTTTTTTTTTTTTTTTTTTTTTTTTTTTTTAAATTTCCACTGGATTCTAGTTGGTAGTAGGTCTGGTGTTTGTGCATTTTAGGTTTTGGGCTTGTGTGTTGGGTTCTAAGTTATCTTTGCTGTTCGTGGTTTTTGTTGCATTTTGATCCCTTAAAATTTTACAATTACTGAAAGCAATTTTGGTGAATGTTTTTTTTTTTTTTTTTTTTTTTTTTAACAATTTTAACGCAAAGCTATTTTGCTATGTGTTTTTAAAGTGTAACATGTTATGGAGTATTAAATGGTGGTCTGTTGTTATTTTGTATATGTATGATGTGCTTTTCTTTGTTATGGCCTGTGCGATTGGGGTTCATATTATTATTGCCCTCATAATTAAATAATTAAAAATAGTTTTAATTTTTCCGGCCAAAATTGGCCGGCAATTTGGCCGGCAGGACTAAATCTGCTAATAATTACATAGTTAAAGGTTTAAATTGAGAGTTTTGAAAGTCACGTACTCAAATTATCAGTACCCTAATAGTCACAGGACCAAAAGTGCAATTTGTTCTTATTGTTATTACTATTTTTATTATTTCTATTTTTTATTATTGTTATTTGCAAATCATTTGTTGCGTATTAGTGATCTGATGATGCTCGTGGTATCATTTTTGTTGGCCTATCGATGATGCGTCTTTGGTTTTGAATTGGCTAGCATTTTAGAATTGTAGTGTCTGTTGTGTGTGCATTTCGATTACGTTTGTGTGCGTTTGTGTGGGGCTGGCTTTGATTCTTTGCTGGGCTGGGATTAATCATTCAGGAGTGTGTGCATATAACGATCCTGGTGTGTGTATTTGGGAATTACTGGGGGCCTGCTTTAGTTAGTATTATGCACTTCGCTTTTTCCTTTTGTGCAGTTCGGTCTATTGGTCTGTGTAGGTGGGTTTTAGTTACTTGTTATTTTTTTGCATGTGCATACAAATTTATTTTGTGTTGCCTTGCCTTATTATTTGTGTGTTTGGTTTCAGGTTTATTCTTTATGTCTGTTGCATTAACTTTGTTTCGTTGTTTTCATTGTAGTGGACGATTCTGATGCTATATGAATGCTCATGCTCCGACTATAACATTTACTCGCACGCACTAGCCAAAACACACTCCGAAATTTAAAAACATTTTGAATTTAACAACTACGTATTTTCCTTATCAATTCAAAGTCTCCATTTTCTTAATTTACCGTTTTCAAATACTTTATTCATTTCATTTTTAATATCGCATTTGGTATTATTGTAGTACATGCTATACGAATGCTGATGCTCCGACTATAACATTCACTTGCACACGTGATCAAACACTAACAAAGTTTATATACTCTCTAATTAAATATTTCTGAATTCGTTCTACATTTAGAATTTAACAACTCTGTATTTTCCAAATCAATTCGAACGATCCATTTACTTAATTTAGCGAATTCACGTAGTTTATTAGTTTCATTTTTTATATTGCATTTTTTAACCCTGATAGTGCACGTCCATATTGGTGCTCATGCTACAACTATAACAATTACTCGCACTCGCGTCCAAACACTCATAAAACTTATAAACTCTCTATTAACATATTTTCAAATACGTTCTATATTTGAAATTTAACATCTACGTATTTTCCTTAATTATTTAAACGATCCATTTCCTTAATTATCCGAATTCTGAGAGTGTATTCTTTTCATTTTTAATTATACTTTATTCAATTCCTGTTTTAAAATGCGTTTTTGGCCACCAAAGTACATGTTAATATCAATGCAAATGGTATCACAAACTCATGCCCAAACTGGGTTTCTGAAAAAAAAAAGAAGGGATTTATTATTCTTCACGCGCAATGCACACACTCGCCAGGATATTTGCACATCAGTTGTCCATAACATTTAACCACCTTACAATCTAAAAAAACCATCATTATTAAAATGTTTGTACTTCTGGTTAATCATTATTAACGGACTAGTGGGATAACTACTTTCGTGGACAGCTTCGGCTATTATGGCCATCTGTCATTCCACATGTTTTGCATGTGCGTTTTTTCTTAGAATGTTCCATCATTTCTACCTCCCTTGCTGATTTCATTCGTTTGCCAGACCCCTTGGTTTTTGCTACGGGAGGTGGGTGTACTTCTATCGTCTCTGGGGCTACGACACCGCAATACGATTCCATTATTGCACGCTTCCCATTTTCATGCACCCCTTGTTCTTCGTCCTCCCCGAATATCCCTTCAGACTCTTCCATGCACAGCCTCATCTCCTTCATTTTTTCGGTTCTTGCTTTAGCTTTGCCCAAACATCTATGAAATATGTTAATTAGTCGTGTGTTGCACATGCTGAGTAACTGCGTTGCACATGCTGAGTAACTGCGTTGCACATTCTAAACGCGATCCTTGCACATGGATAAACCCTAGCATGCATAAGCCGTGAATATAACGTCCATATCCTGTGTGACTTACAAGTCTTGGCTAAGTAAATCCCTCGCAAAGGCTGAAGCCTTTTTTTTTAATAAAAAAAAACAAAAAAAAAAAAAAAACAAAATATGTATACACCACTAGTGATAAACAAAAAATGATATACAGAGAAATTAAACGAACATTGCACAAAGAAAACAACTCCGCCCAAACCCAACACCTACCATATGCTCCAAATCGAAAATGGAAACAAGAGGATACCCAAAAAAAAACATATGTACACACTCCACCCCAATAATGCTAACAATACGAAACCAATCAAAAATAACTTTTTTAACAACACATTATTGAAACCAAACATTGGACGATTGCACACTCCGCCATGATATAACGCACATACCCCGGACAGATTACTATCCAGAAATTTAAAAAAAAAAAAAACACCACACCCACGCCGACACCGTCCGATCCCTACAACACCCCATCAACCCATCAACACCGCAAGCGAAACCTCCACGGCGGTTAAAAACAAAAACACAAAAAAAAAGGAGGCTTAGTAAATATATTTGTATTAAACGCCTTCCTCATGCACTCATTAGACACACACGTTACGTACTGCACACACTTGCACACTAAGGTTTTACAACGCACAGACTCATCATAATATATGCACATACCTCTATCCGTTTGCGCCATCACCGTGACCTTTGCTGTGAAACAACCGCTGCACTTTGATTCTGATTGGGGAATGCTTAAGTTCAGGACTCACCAGAATATCAATAGTAATATATTACCGTTAATATATAATCCAATCTCATAATCAGTTGATGCTTAGCATGGAATATATTCCAATTTATTTGTAACCATAAATAGCTCCTTTATTACAATTACTTATTCACCCTTATGCATAGACTACTACCTTAAATGCATAACATATCTCTTTCAATCTCACCCTTTAATATGCAATGATCTAATGGATGAGATGAGATCTCATAATCTCATCCATCTAAGTGACCTCATGGGATCCGGAGCCTATATATATATATATATATATATATATATATATATATATATGTTCGCAAATCGGCATATATTCTATCCCATCAGAATTTTCAGAGTTTGACTCAAGAATTGGGATAAAAGTAATTAGAGAATTTTACTGCCTTGACTTGTAAAACCATACTTTGAAGTTAAAGAGTTAAATGAGTGAAGACATACCTTGACTTGTTTCTTCAATTGCATCATTCTTGCTTTTTCTTCTTGAATCCATGAATTTTGGGGTTTTGCGTTTACAGGGGATCTTACCATCTGTGGATCAGTGAATGGCTTTTCCTTTTTTATATTTTAGTACTTAAGAAGAAAAACTAGTATTATATAATTTTAACTAACATAACACAAGTATAGTGTGTAGCTGGGTAGTGGAGAGTTTTGCCTTTAAACAAGAGGTTTAGAGTTTGAATCTTTGCATCTTTTTGCTCTGAATTATATTGTTTTATGCCACATCACACAATTTGACATGACAATTCTAAGCCATGTGGACAGACTTATCGAAAAAAATTAACGATGTTAAGTATTGTCCTTAACTGTTCTAAATCTTAAAATACATAGATTAAATTGAACAAAATTAAGGTACAGGGACTGAATTGAACAAAACCCTAGACCTAGCAAGTACTTTGTCCTAATTTTTCCAACTTGGGTGCCAAAATCCTGAGCACGAGACGATTTGTCCTCGCCAACAACACGAGTTGATGGGTTCGGTTCCAACACAGAATCCACTGGTGGATTCGACCTTGGGTGCCAGAATCCTGAGCATGATACAATTCGTCCTTGCTAACAAGACGAGTTGATGGGTTCGGCTTATCAACAGCCCAAGACGATTCATCCTCTCATCTCCTATTGTGACCGTTGAGCTTCAATTCACCAATTTCGGAATAAATGTTGAATTAACTCCAATTTTAAATTTCGAATTAAAACTTAGTTAGTGGTCTGCTGTTTCAGGAGTTACAAGACTGGTTTTAAATGCTATGTTGAAAGCTATTGAATTCCACAACCCCGATATAAACAGTGGTAGTGCAGCAGATTTTAAACACAGAAAAATTACTTTGTTTTCTCTCTCAAAATTCTGTTTCTATTCCTTTCTAGCTTCCTGTGTTCTTGCTTTGCTCTAGTTCGCCAGGTTCTTCATCGGATTCTTTGTTTGGGTGCTCAAATAATTGAATTGTAGCACGTTTTATGTTGGAAAACCTAGGCACAACGCTCCTAACACTTTTAGAAGATATCAAATAAGATTTTAAGAAAAGAGTGATTTGCATGACTCATGCTAACCCCCAACACTGTACCCACCATAACCATTCGTCGTTCCCAATTTTTTCATAAAATAATAATCATTTTTCCGTAAGATTATTATTGGATTTTTTCAACCTTATTCCCTACCAATCAAACCAAACTAAAATTTGAAACCAAATAATTCCATTTTTCCAAAATCCAAAAAAAGGGAAATCAAACCAAACCTGAAAAAATCAAACCCAAAACCCCTATTCGATCCCGTCTTTGTTTAAATTGAGCAGACGGGTGATGATTTGGCGGCAAATTGATGAGATGCTGTTCCAACGGGCAAAAACTATCCCCCATCTTCTTCAACTCCACTCGCTCAACATCAAAACCGGTCTCGATCACCACCACTTTCTACTCTCCCAATTCGTGTTATCCGCGTGCTCCATATCGCTCCATTTCGCGCGATCAGTCTTCGAGAAATCTCCGATCACTCCCTCGTCCTTCACGTGGAACACGATGATCAGAGAATACTCGAAAAGCTCCAGCGAAATCGAGTCCGTGAAGCTGTTTATCCGGCTTCTAAGAGCCGGAATCCGACCTGATAAGTTTGTGTTCCCATCCGTGCTAAAATCTTGCGGGTGTTGCTCCATGGTTGGAGCTGGTGGGTCGGTCCATTCAATGGCTATGAAGACGGGATTTGTTTTCGACGTGCATGTGAATAACACCCTTTTGAAAATGTACGCTGCTTGTGGCGTGGTTGAGTTCGCACGGAAGGTGTTCGATGAAATGCATCAGAGGGACATGGTTTCTTGGAGTTGTATGATTGCTAGCTACGTTGATTGGTGCGCTATTCTTTTTGTTTCTGTGGATTTTTTGCTTTTATTCCCTTTAGGTTTGAGCGTTTCTATATGCTTTCTTTTTGAATGCTTGTAGTAACCTCCCTTCATATGCTATTATGGCGTTCAAGAAGATGAAGCTGGCAAATGAAAAGGAAAATTCAATCACTTTGGTGAGCTTGGTTGCTGCTTGTACCAGTCTCCTTATTGTCAGACTTGGACAATCCATCCATTCCCAAATCCTGACTAATGGTATCGAATTCCATGTCGGTCTTGCCACATCTCTGCTTCAGATGTATGCAAAATGCGGTCGTGTGGAAGAAGCCTTCCGAATCTTCAACTCAATGAGCACCAAAAATCTGCAGTCCTGGACTATCATGATATCTGCACTTGCAGATAACGGCCGAGGGGAAGAAGCAATATCCTTATTTCCCAGAATGGAAGAAGCCGGCCTGCGGCCTGACAGCTTATCATTTTCTGCAATTTTATCCGCTTGCAGCCACTTAGGTCTCGTGGAAGAAGGCCACGGGTATTTCAACAGAATGGTGAATCTTTACGATATCAGGCCAACGATGGAACACTATGGATGCATGGTGGATTTGCTCGGGCGCGCTGGGAAGATAGAACAAGCTTACGAGGTTATCACGAGCATGCCAATGGAACCCAACTCTGTCATATTAAGGAGCTTTATTAGCGCCTGCAAACAGCACGGCCGCAGCAGCATTCTTCGTCTCGATGAACGCCTTAAAGAACTGCTGCTTAAAATCGAGCCTGACATTGCAGCCAACTATGTTCTTGCTGCAAATTTGTCTTCCCTCTGCGGGTATTGGGATGATGCAGATGGCCTGCAATCAGCTATCAAAGAAAAAGGCATAAAGAAAACTCCAGGTTGCAGTTGGGTGCAGCTTCGTAGTGGCTACTCTGAGAATGTAAAGGGAGATACTGTAAATTGTTGTATTTAAACTCAGTTTAATTTATTATCTAAGTTTGAGTTTAACTTTACCCATTACTACCTCCAAAAGAATAAGGCTTTCTTATCTCCGAAACTCACAACGGGTAGCTCAAGTGGCAAATGAGCTCTCTTTGTAGGGGAGAATTTCAGGAGAACCTGAGTTCTATTTCCACAAATGACGATTGGACTAGCTCCCGTGCCTCCAGGAGCGAACAGGAATTAGTCAAGTGGACCCGGACCGTTCGTTGTTTACACTAAAAAAAATCTCCGAAACTCACAAAAAACTTATTAGGAAAATTTTCCGGGTGGTTTCTTAATAAATCAGAAGCTTTTAGAAAAAAAATTGGATTGTTTTCTAATTAAGAAAAAAGTTCGGAATTGCATCTCGGGAATTCAATTGCAACGGGACTGCACTTACAATTATAAATTCTTACGTATATTCAAATAACTCAAAATATATTCCACAATTTTTAGTACTTGTCGAAGACGTAAAGATTTGATTCATACATTTTTAATATCACTATATCAGTAATCAAATTAAATTAAACTTTGTCAAAATTGTTAGGAATTGCATTGTATAAGTTTTGATGATGCTTACTATTGAAAGATTGGGAATTTAGAACCCGAAAATCTAGAATTATAATAGTATTACTTGTAAAGGTTAAAGGACTAAATGTAGACATTGTTGTATTAGCGATAGATTTCAACCGGAAGATCTAATCGGTGGGTCATGTTGGTCCCGAGGTTGATAAAAAGTCTAGAGGGGAGGGAGAGGGGGAGGGGGAGGGGGTTGAATATACATTTTAAAATATTTAACTTAAAACAATTTAAAATCAAAGTTTACCATCAGCTCACAATAAAGTGATAGGCAACAGAAATCTAAAGATGTTTGCAGCGTGGTTTAGCTAAAAACAACTTGAAATGTGTTAACATGTGTGCTTGACTCGTTTGATTAGTTGAAAAATTAAATGCAGTAGAGTAAAAAGTATATAGAGAGATTTTTATAGTGATTCAACAATAGCCTAGTCCACTCTTCTCTTTAATATCAAAGGAGGATTTCATCACTAGTATTTTATAGGCGCAAATGAAAGTGAACCGGTCTTAGTGTGTCCACAAAGCACTAAGATTGAAATGGTGCTCATTCAATCTGGATGTCCCCATCGGATCTTCAACACCTAATATTCGCTCCAAGGGTCAACTACCAAGTTTCCTTGAGCAACAGATCATCAACTAACCACACTTTAAGAAAATGCAATTGTTTTGTTTGTTCCTACAAACAAGTGGACTATGAATTTGGAAAATTCACAAGTGAAGTTCATGTTGCACTAGATATGAACATTGTAGCTTTGTCTCTCTATGTTAGCTAGCACTTAGCACTGAAACACCGCAATAGTGATAATCAATGGCATTGGCAACAACTAGCACTAGTGACCTTTCTTGAACTCCGGAGTCCTCTATTTATAGGATAGAGGTGAAGGGAGGCTAGTAATCTTTCATGAAATTCAAATTTTTCGGTACCCCTAATGCGACAGGTGAAAAATCTACCACTAACTCCAACATGCTGCAAATGTATTGTTGTCCTTTTCCGTAACATCTTTTGTTCTTTTCTCTAGAAATTACGTGCATTTGAAAAAGAACGTGCAACAATTGTCCCTTTTTTCATCCGGTGGCTAGGAGAATTTCAGATGTTTTCATCTCAAACTTCTTCTGGAATTTCTATTGATTTGCTTTGTCACTACTAATGAAGAAATAACTTAGGACGTTAAAAAAGAAACAGCTTCAGGGACCCAGCTATTCTGCTTTGCTGGTATGGTATCTACCCTGCTAATCTACTGTCGGTCTACTGTCTTCAACTTTGCTGAAACACTATAGCTGTTATTTTGACAACATCCAGGTGATGAACTAAGCTGATCAGCTTGAACACACTCAAGCTGATATTACAAGAAAATTCAAAGTTTTCAGTCTAGACTAAAGATTCCAAGCTGATTACACACAATGAAATAAATGGGGTATCTAAAATCCTAATACAATCATAACATCATCAAAATCTAAGTACAATAGTTCTTAACAAATTCTCCATTTCTGATGATGTCAAAACCTAACTTTGTAGTGCAAACTTAAAACACATCTCAACTTGAGTAACTCACACACCCAATAAACTTAACTTTTATTGATTATAAGCTCAAGTTACATTAGCTGGCAAAAACAATTAGAATTACATAAAATTATCTAAGGCCAACAACTAAATATAAAAACTAATCAGCTTCTGCCAAAGTCTTCAGTCTTCATTGCTTCCTGCTACATTGATAACTCCTTAAGCTGATGCCAACTTCTCTTCAAAAAATAAGAAACAGAAGAAGATATGTCATTGCTACTAATGAAATTCAAGAAACTTATTGAGATAATATATATAAATGTTCATTGTTTGTATGCCACAGAGATAATGTTGTCTGTATGCTACTTCAAGTTAGACAACATAATCACAAATTTCACATAATATTCTTAAAAGAAGTTAATCTCATACGCAAAGAATATGTTCAAACTGACATTTGTTAGGGAATATATTTCAACACGGTGAATTCAACAAGTATAACTTTAATACTCAAAGTTATTTCACCTACACAACTTTTCCTTCACTTGAGGAAATTAAAAACTCATATAAAGCATTCATATGATGCAGATCAATATTACTATTGCAGTACTTCAACAATTTCTATTGCAAGGCTTTGATTGTTTAACAACATATGAAAGTCAACCTCATTTCAAGTGAAGATCAAGTGTCGTTCTAACTAGCCTGCACGATCAACACCCTACTTCATAAAAACTCACAGGTCGAGTGGTGAAACCGAAGTTTACTTAAAATCCATCTTCCTAGACAGAGTATTCAAGAAGGATGACTTTTCCATGCTACCACCACAATGTGAGTAAAACCTTGGAATTTAGTCTCAGTACACAATTCAGATATTTAAGATTAAGTGACTGTAAAGCATTTATGTATCTCATCAAATAGTGCAATGTTTGTAACATATCCACAATATAACACATAATATTATAAATTCCATATGTGCATAAGTACACAATTTATAAGCTTTAAATCAGATTGATGATTTAATCACTTAGCAGTAGTGTTAAATCAACACTTATAACACAACAAAATCATAAAGCTCATCAATGTGAATAATAACAATTCACTTATTCTTGGGTACACCGCTGTTAATTTTCTCTATAATATTCAAAGCACTCACCATATAAAATATGAAATGGTGATTTCTAAAATGCTTGTCGCAATATATTTCACGTTTCAAATGCTCTCAAAACATAATAATCAAATGGATGCAAAGATATAGGCAAATCATCTTCTAAATTCTACCATTATGATAGTTTTAAAGGAATGTGGTCAATGCCCAATAATATATGACTACTTTTGCTCAAAATAATCATTTGCATATGATAGTCTATTATCATATAAATATGCATGTGTCATATTAAAATATGAGGAGACAAACCTCATTGGAGTATATATTGGTCAAAGCTCCGATATGAACCCAATAATTATTTCTGTTGTACTCCCTTGCTTAAAGGTTACACATAACCCGAAGCAGTGTGCTTCACCAGTATTGTTCTGTATGAAGCTGCTGCCTTCCACTGCTAATCTCTGTTGTTGCTACACCACCATGTCGCCAAAAAATTATTATAATATGCTACATGATTCGAGTAGTTGACTGTTGCTAGAATAGTGCTTTTAACTGTTGGAAAATATTTGCAACATCAACGTGCGAGCTGGAAACCTTTTAAGAAACACGAACACAATGGGTGTATGGTTGAAAGGAAGTCTATGCCGTGTTATAATAACACTACCTTAAAAGCATTATTTGCCTGGTAACGGTGCAGTCAAAACCCTGGCACGCTTTCGACATGTTACATAGAATAACCACGCTAAGCTCGCACCAGCTTAAACGTTGCTGAACCTAACTATTGCTCATACTTTAATAAGCAGACATGAAAAGATCAGAGAAATGACATGCATGTTTTCCTTGGTGTGTTTAAAATCAAGGCAAAGCCCTGTTTAAATAATAGAAGTCAAGCAATTTAGGCCTCAGATTATTTAAAGGATCTTAACCACTCATTAATTTGTGGTAAATATTAAACCACCACATAATTAATGAGTGACTTGCATTTTTTCTCAACAAATACTACTAAAGATATATTCCTAATACTCCCCCTCATGCTCAATTGGGGTGACTAACAACATTGAGCTTGTCACACAGCTGAGTAAACCGAGGCCCAGCCAAGGGCTTAGTGAAGATGTCAACAATATGGTCATTCGTAAAGATAAAATTCACCTGAAGCTCCCTCTTAGACACCTTGTCACGTACAAAGTGATAATCTATTTCAACATGCTTAGTATGAGCATGAAAAACAGGATTAGCACTAGGGGTGACCACGGTCGATTCGAACCGAACCGTGCACTGTTGAACCAGAATTGGAACTGAACCGTCCGTACGGTTCTGGTTTCGGTTCTAAACTGGAAAAAATTAAAAATTATAGTGTTTTATTATTATTATTTTTAAATAAATCCGGTTAGAACCGGCGGTTCCAACCGGAACCGGAACCGCGGTCACCCCTAATTAGCACAGAGATAAGTGGCTCCTAAATTATCACACCATAATAAGGATGTCATCGACATATACCAGAAGATACGCAAAAACACTATTAACAGAGTAAATAAACACTGAAACGTTTGTCTTAGAAGGGCGAAAACCAATCGATACCAAAAACTCATGCAAACGCATGAACCAAGCACGAGGAGCTTGCTTTAGTCCATACAACGAGCACGGAAAGAGACACACATAATCAAGATGCACCTTGTCCTCATACCCTGGAGGTTGACGCATATAGACAGTATCAGCTAACTGACCATTGAGAAAAGCATTATGGATGTCAAGCTGGCGAATCACCCAGCCACGAGAATGCGCTAAAGAGAGAAGCAAACGCACAGTCGTGGGCTTAACAACAAGGCTAAAAGTCTCAAAGAAATCCTAACTCGGGA